TGCTCCAAGCCCCATCCAACCTGGCCTTGAACACTGCCAAGGATGGGGCAGCCACAGGTTCTCTGGGCAACCTGTGCCAGCGCCTCAGCACCCCCAGTAACATCTTGATGCACAGACATGCGATCACTTCCATGCCAAAAAAAAAAGGGCATCAGAATTTCTATCTTCAGCCCTTATTTTAAAATGAGCTGAAATGTTGATGTAGATTTCATTCACATCATGAAGGACGCTCTCCTGCTGCCTTTGGAATAGTCAGAGCTCACTGAACCCGCTCACTATGAATGCCATGCTTGGCTGGAAACTCACAAGTTCTCCAAATTGAGTACAATACATTTGTAAATCCGTGTAAGATGATGTGGTAACTTCAATAAACAAGTTCTGGATGCTGTCTCTCAGAATGACCTTATAGTTTAAACTGTCACATAGCTCGATCTCCTGGCAGGTGAAGCAGGCAAAACTTCCTGAAAGACTTCAGAAGGTCATCAACACAACCAGTAGTTATGCTACTGGTGGAAATTTGGCACTGACACACAAATCATACTCAAATTCAAAAATGCCCTCAAGAAACTAGGAAAAAGCCCTAACCTTACAAGATTTACCAGAAGGGTATCCCAGAGGGAACAACAACAAAAGTAGTACCCTCAGTAACTGGATTGTTGATTTAAGACCTGAGGTGGGGGTGGTGTGGTGTGTAAATAAATCTAGTGATAATCAAGGCTTGCTTGCACATGCAAAGAGTTTTGCAGTTTCCCTCATTATTCTCAATGCAACTGACATACATACACCAATTTTTTAATCTTCACAGGTTATGAATCCCTTCATGTTAAAGAGTTCACATCTTCACTTTCTTACTGAATATTCCTGACATACATAGAAATCCTCATTATTTCTGATGTTGTTTTAAGAAATCAGATCCTTATGACACCTGGAGGTGTTGGTTGATGAAAAGCTCAACATGATCTGGCAGCATGCACCTGCAGCCCAGAAAGCCAACCGTATGCTGGGCTGCATCCAAAGAAGTGTGGCCAACAGGTCAAGGGAGGTGATCCTGCCCCTCTACTCCACTCTGGTGAGATCCCACCTGGAGTACTGTTCAGCTTAGGGCCTCAGCATAAGAAGGACATGGACCTGTTGGAGCAAGTCCAGAGGAGGGCCATGAAGATGCTCAGAGGGCTGGAGCACCTCTTCTATGAAGACCGGCTGAGGGAGTCGGGCTTGTTCAGCCTGGAGAAGAGAAGGCTCCAGGGAGACCTTAGAGCAGCTTCCAGTACATAAAGGGGGCCTACAAGAAATCTAGAGAGGGGCTTTTTACAAGGGCATGTAGGGCTAGGATGGGATGGGAGATTCAGGTGAGATATAAGGAAGAAATTCTTTACTGTGAGGGTGGTGAGGCCCTGGCACAGGTTGCCCAGAGAAGCTGTGGCTGCCCCATCCGGGGCAGCGTTCAAGGCCAGGTTGGATGGAGCTTTGAGCAACCTGGTCTAGTGGAAGGTGTCCCTGCCTTTGGCAGGAGGGTTGGAACTGGATGATCTTTAAGGTCCCTTCCAACCGAAACCATTCTCTGATTGTGATATTTTATTCTGATTCTTATAAAGAAAGCTTAGAATGGCCTTCCAGCTTAGTCCCAAGACAAGGCAGAAGTTCTTGTTCTACAAACTCTATTTTGTGAGGAATTACACTAACATTTTATATTCATTTTAGAATTAGGCTGAGGACTTTGACAAGATCAGTACTTCCACTTGCTGTATTGTCATCTGAAATTATATTGCTTTCCATTAAATTGTTCATTATTAGAAGATTCGTATCAGACGGCTTAATACCTGAAACCACTCAATACAATTCCAGTTTTTACGGGCCCCAAGTCCGAAATTTGTTTCTTAACGAGAATCAAAACAGCGATAAAACAATTCCTACAAGTTATACTACTGTAACTTAAATGCAGCACAGAAATGAAGCAAAATGGCCTCATGCACTCAAGTTTCTTTTTTGAGCATGAATTTCTGTTACCAGCTTTAGCCTTATCTTAGTAGGTATGGAAATACACTTTCCCATTCACAATGAAGAAAAAAAAATGAGACAAATAAGTATCAATTGATGAGTTCGAAATGTAGTGTTGGGTAACTAATTTCTTACCAGAACTCATTTATAACCACTTTAATGGTGCTTAGAAGAAAGCATTTTGCCATACTAGTCAAATACTTTTAAGTCTTGGCTTGTTACATATCACAGAACCATAGAACTCCTTGTGTGCTTCATCACAAAGGGAATAATGTAATTAAATAGTTTACTTCTCACCTTGTCCATTTTCCATGGGAAAGCTGCGATTATTTTGTTCTGATTTATTATAAACGCAGAATTGGACATTAAGAGAAGGCAATTGGTAGCAATCTGGCAAGACAACTTGGCTACAGTTAGCCAAATAACACCTTTACAGTTAAGTTCAGGGTTTCTGAATAAAGCAAAAAGTACGCTTATTACAGAGAACAGCAGTAGAAAAATCTTGCCTTTACAAAAAAATAACAGCACTGAACATTCTAGTGCACCTCCTGACCGCTACGTATGTGGCAATTGAACCAGCAGCGGAAGCATTCTACAAGTTTTCCTACAAATAAAAGGATGGTAATAAACCTTTAGCTAGGAGGATGACAGAGTTCTTGCCACTGGACTTGTTTACAGGCAGTCTCCTCTATCTTTTTGTGCTTTGAGTCAAATGTAGAAGCTTACTGACTTCTTTAATATAAACTGACACAGTGGACTACATTGCGGCTTTAAACCTGGCAGTGCTCAGCTGCCCAGCACTACTCAGATACAGCAATATACATGAAAATACAGGTCTGGTAAGGCAGCCAGGTCAAAAGCAATTTATTCAGGACGGACTGACTCATTCACATTTCAGCTTATTTTGCCCTTTATGATCCGATGACAGCTTACCTTCAGAGAACACAGCATGGCCACTGGTTCCTCAGTTGTGTAATCTCTTTAAGGTTGTATAAATTTGCTGTAATTTCAGTAGAAATTTAATCAACATTGGGGCTGTGGAAGCTTGGTATCATAATGTATACCTTAGGATTGTAGAACTGCTTTCATGCTCTCTCCCTTGAATGTTTATGTGATCTTGTTTTCCCCTCCTAAAATTACATTTTAAAAAAGTAATCACAGAACTGAACATTAAAAAAAAAAAACCAAAAAAAAAACCCCACTACCAAAGCTTATCCTATTCCACTAGAAATTTAACTCACATTACGCATGTTATTTATTCTTTTATTTACTTGCTATTCCTTCTCAATTTCTCCACTTTTCTGGTTTTGCAGTTAGGAACAGACCAAAAAACACCCAAACTTTCAAGAGTTGAGCAAAATATAGCGAAACAACTTAACTTTCACTGCTGTTTTAGCATAAGGATTAACCTTCCACTCGCATTCCCCTTAAGTACTTGCATCTCATCCGCATGGGTCTCCATTTGGAGAAAGCTGCCTTTGCCATTTGAAGAGACAAAATACCAAGTGCAACCTTGTGCTGACACACACAATTAGCCCAAGGTCAGTTAAGGATAGGGAAGCAGCAGAAAGTAACAACTGAGAGAAATTATATAAAGCTAAGGGAAGGCGGAGCTGTGACTCCACAAGTGACTTATTTTTAATCATTCACAGGTTTTGTTTCTGATACCTGCCTTCTTTAGATTCAAGTCCATCCTTCCCAATATTTTATTTTGTTAATGTACCTTAAACTACCCATCTGTTACATGGACATTACCACTCTCAGGGATCACTCCAAACCTTGTGTTCAAGTGTGAAGCAGGCAGTTGCTAAGCATTACTGATGATGCAAGTTTCTTCATGGCTGAGATACAGCACCTGGCACTTCCAAGTGCCACTTCACAACTAAAATACTTACATACTTCCTGAAGGTGCTCTGCAGGATCACCTGCTGCCCACGAGGACTCCAGTTACATATGCCTGAATGTGCGACCATTCTCATTTTAAAAAAGGTGTAGAACTTTAACACAGTGCACTTAAAAGCTTCTCTGAAAACTTGCACATAGAGGAAAAAGACAGGAAAGCATCACATTTACAAAGCACTTCTGAAAAACAGAAACATTACATGCATCAGCAGGATAGTTCCTTTCATTAAACTTCACCCAAGTGTTTTTTCTGTTGTTAAATGCTTCTGATAGAACTTTGAATCTCCTAATCTGGTCAAACCGACAGCAGAATTTTATGCCAAAATGACTAGGCTAGGATATTGTGTGATTAGTTTAAGGACTCCACTTCTGTCCATCTTTCAGGCATTCAGTAGAAGGAGCTCTTCTAAAATAAGCCTGTCCAGACACATGTCAGTGCCTTGTGATGCTCACGACTAAGTTAAGTTAAAAGGGTCATTTCAAGGACTCCAACTGTCTAGATGGGATTAGGCCACTAATCTCTCAGCTATCCACACAAAATGATGAGAGTATACAAAACCCCTCCTCACAGGAATGATAAACCCAATAATTTGATAAATGCTTAGAAATAGTGCTTTGATGATTCTGTGAAACAGTTCAGACATTTCAACTTCCTGTGGACACAGCGTCTAAATTAACTGGTTTCAACAGGGGCTATCAGAAAGCAAATGAGAAGTACTGCACAGGACTACCAAATATGTATCACTGAGCAGCAACATGGACTTTACTACATAGGCTACTTTCCTCCATTAGGCTACAAGTTTTGTTACAGCCCTCTCTCTGCCTTACATCACCAAATATAGAGAAGTAGTTTAAATTTTCTTCCAAATTAATTAATTCATGATGCAGAGAACAGCTTCCCCTTATTCGGCTGTAGCAAGCCTATCACAAGAGCCAAAGTGCTCAACTCAATGCAGGTCTTAACTACTATTCTAGTTAGCATATAGAGTTTTAGTAAAGAATCCTCAATTTTTAGGTATAGAGAGGCTTGGCTTCTCTTCTGTTTTAATTAAAAAAGGCAACTGGAGATTTTTTTCCCAAAGAATAAATAGAACACTAGGTCAGGCAACAGTCATTTATTTATTGACTTTAACAAGCAAAAAGTATCCTCAGACATGACGGCCAACACTTGAGCAATACAAATCAATGCTACTGAGGAACATCTTTTCTCTCACCCCTCCCATCCCACAAGTAACAATAGAAATACCAGGGCCCCTAGAGAAGAGAGAAGGAGAAAAATTGTAACAGACGCTTGGAATGAGCTGCAGAGTTGAAACATGGACGCTGAAAAATCATTAGCTAATCTACCATAGAACCACAATCACCTCAAAAATAACTTTCATTGCTCCGTTTCTACTAGGTACCAAATATATAGCGCTGTTTAACAGCGATTTCAATGTATTAACAACTGTCCTCAGCTGAAGCAGAACAGCAATTGCTATTTATATTAAATTTGAGGCTGCAGATAGAAAGGTTTCCACAGAATACAATGCAAGTTAATGAAGAGAGAGTGGGGGAGAAACAAAGCTACTTTTAAGTTACTGTACGTCTCTATCAATCAAGCAATTAATTCTGTATTGATGGCTCACTGCACACACAATATCCTGATAGAGTATGGCAATTCTACTCACCCTGTGACAGTGTATCTGAAGAATGTATCTATGAAGAATGTATCTGTAAGTCCCTTAAGTTGCGGGCCACTGACAATCCCAGCCTGCTACTCCTGTGTGGGTATTTCTCGTATCAGACATCAGCATAAAAGCAAACAGACTGCATGCAAAACAACTGCTGCTAAATCATTTAGTCTTCCTTGTAACAGCTGAAAATAAGAGTAAGGCATTCCTCAGATGTAGAGAAAACATTAGGAGGCTGTAGTTTTGCAGGCAAGGAGACCTTTTATTTTAATCCATTAAAAGAACCCAAGATAGTCAGCAGGTGGCCACATCTATCCATGTTTCATTAAAATCACATAAACCCTAAGTACAAAAGCACCACTGATTATTGCTCTAGAAAAACTGCATGAAAAATTCAAATACGCACAGTAAAAACATCACCATATGCACAAGACTTAATTTCTTAAAGCAAGTGTATGGAATGCTGATCCAATTTTACACATACCTTGCAATATTAAGTTGATATTTATATTACTTGGCAACAATGGGTATTTCTAAAAGCACTGTTATGAGAAGGAAATGTTCATATACAGTTTAATATGTCAACTATCATAGTCCTAAAAAAATTAGCATTTACAAAATACTTGATAAAAATATCTTTTAAAAGTTGTCCAAGAGGTACATAAAATCAACCCAAAATTTTCATGATATTTCATTCATTCTTGTCACCTACAGATTCAGTTTTCTGAGCCTGTGGAGAAGAAAGAAAGAACCGAATTACTATAGTGAATTGCCCATCGCACGCCTAAATACCCAAACTACCCTTGGTCCTTCCACTTCTTACTTGCAACATCTCAGTTCCATACCTATGTCCACCTCACATTTACACAACCAGAACAGGTACATTCACACACTTTTCTCGAATTATTGGTCCCACCTTTTCAAAAGCAATACAAGCCTTACCTGTCAGCTTCCATTGTTCATACTGAAAAGCACCACACTACTATCTGTTTCTATGCACTGCACACATGCTGAATGCTCTACCGTACCCTCAACTTTCACTGTTTCAATCTGCCCTTTTACTGACAGTGTGCTGGGTAGGGCACCTCTGGATGTTCAAACACTAACAGTTGAGCGAGAGATGCGAATCTGCAATAACATTATGGGCAATAAAAAGAAACATTATGAACATGCTATCAATGTCTGAAAGGCTGAATCATTAAAAAACACTGATTCAATCAGCAGGAGGTATGTGTGCAAAGTACCTCTTCAGCTTTATTTTCACCATTTTCAGATGGTGTAGTACCTTCCTTTGCAGCTTCTTGCTTTTCATCCTTCTTCCCTTTAGCACCTTTGTTGGCCTTTGTTCCAGGTTCCTTCTGCCAGGAGATTAAAAACATGGGCACAGACATTGTATGAGTAGCCAGCACCCTACATCTTTGGGAAAAAAACCTTCATATGAACTAAATAGCAACTCTTGGCAAGCTGCATGTGCTTGACTGATACAGAAAACAAGCTAAAGACTACCTGGAAAATGTATATCCACAGAAGTTATATAGAGACTCTCAAAACTTCTAGAACATGCTGGTGTCTGCTTCTTTATTGGGGTACAAAACCTCCTCAGACTCTTTTGGTAGAGCTGAGCTGTATTATAGGGAAGTACATACAATATATCTGTATGAACAAATCCAATTACAGTATATTGATAACTTATTCAGCCAAGCACAAACAACACACTTGGTGTAGCAGCACTGCGTTTTCGATTAGCATGAAATATTAAATTAGATTTTAAAAAATTAAGCATTTTGTTGGCTGTTCTTTTGTTAGCTTGGTAACATCTGTGATGTTCATTCCATGTCAGTGAAAGAACCAACCAACACACCAGGGAGGCAAACACTGATACAATTCCATCTGCAGCAACACAAAGCGGAGAATTCATCAAAAGAGGCTATTTTAACAGCTACAGTTTCATTTGGAGATCTGCTCTTAAAAGAACTCATATGTTTAAGTCTGCTTTTTTTTTTTTTTAATCCTTGCTCTATGTACATATTTATATTTGTGATCTAAAGCTAGTAGAGACATATGTTAAGAATTTTAAGTGCCACAGGATAGAAATTTTATTTGAGTATTTTACATTAGTATTTAAAGTAGCTCTGATAAACACTGTAGAGATCTTCCCTGTGATCATTTGCTCCAAATTCTCCATGCCAAATGGCAACAGTAGCTGTGAACAGGGATATTAAGGTCAGCCGCCTTTCATTAACCACCTCTCCCCAGTGATCCCCATACAGGAGTGGGGCAGTGAGGAGGGAGTGCCGGTAATCCTAGTCCCAGAGCAGCCTGAATGACTCCTTTCACCCTTCAGCTTCAAAGTTAGAGAGTAGCTATGATGCTTAACTGGGAAGTTTATTGGTGGTTAGAGTCCTAACTCTTCACCTACAAAACAACAACCTAAGGACTTAACTTAGGAAACCCGTAATTTGCAAACTTTTAACACTAAAAATTATCTCAAAACAATACCAGGTCCAATTGTTTATGAGCAGGTTCAAAGTACACACTGGCTGTTTTCTGTTTAGGAGGCAGAGACGAATACACTCCTCAAAATTTACTCCTTAAATTCAGTTAGAGTTTGGAAAAAAAAACCCCAACAGATTACTGTATGAAAAAGCTACTAAGAAAAATGTCATAAAGGATTTGAGTCACCTGAACAGAGCTTCAAATGCAATTTAGGCTGACTCCTTAACACCAAGCTCATTTCACAATGCATACATGAAGCTACAGAAGCACCCATATTCCCTTATTTGTTAATACTCTTTTTAAGAGGGAGCAAGATGGACTCAGCAAGACCTTATGGGTAATTTCATTTCATAAATCATAAAGTGCTTGAAGTCACAGAGTTCTACTTTCACACACGGACTTTGTATCCTGGTATTTGCCCAACCGAAATACCAATAAAAGGATTTGAAAAATGTAAGCGTGAGGAGTGTTAGATTCAGTTTCCACCTTTTTTTTCTTTTTGACAAAGCAATTGCTCTTATTTAACATTCCCCTTGGGCACAAATAAATCTACAGTTTCTGAAGTACATGATTTGTATGCAGAAATCCTGAAAAGGTATTTCAGACTAATAAGATTTTAATTTGACTGTAACTGGCCTAGAAAAAACAAACCATTGAATTTAAATCCATTTAATTTCACCTTTAATTGTAATTGTGCATTCTCAGCAACGGCCAGGCTTCAAGAACAGATAAGAGTTTCTCACTGTGAAATGAAGTACTGCCCCTCAAGACAAGGAAACAGGATGGCACTGAGTAATCCCAAATCCTACTGTAGAAATTGCTAGGTCCCAGGTAGAGCTTACTCAACCAAACCTGTACATTCCAGGAAAGGTGCAGGAAAGGTAAAAGTTATTCTAAAACTACGGAATTCACTACAAACTAGCATGGTCTGCATATCAAACAGGCAAGACATTTTGTTTGGGCCAGCAATGAGGCCAGGAAGGGGTGAAACAGAAAGAAAAGAATGATCTAATTTGTTTTTTCTTCTGGGGAGTGGGGGGAGCAGGGAGCTGCTGGGAGAGCAGGGGAGCCAATGTCTCACCAAAACGCTGTGGACTAAACCATTTGCAATGCAAAGAAGGAGCAGACTTGTTTACTACTGGCTACAATGATGGCATCTAAAAGGAAAAGTATTTACCTTTGTGGTTTTCCTTGGTTTGGGTTCAGGTTTTGGCGGAGCAGGTTTCTATAAAACATTTTTAGTTGCACGACGTGTTAGACATATTATCAGAAGCCAGTTAACCACCTCCACACCCCAGCTTCCCCCACCACACACCTTCCCTGACTTCCTGCTCATTAGTATGCATCTAGAAAAAGACTGAAAAACCTTAATGCACAAATGCACCTCATCGCTGTGCACACCAGTTCTCATTAGCTCACTCATCTAGCAAAGCCATTTGGGGTCATTCTGAGAGTAAACATGGAGATAAGCAGTTACTATTAAAAAAATAAGATCAGGTATGTTCTAACAGAGAAGAGGAACTAAACCCAAATACTACTAGTGGCATCAAATGGTCCTTGAAGGACTGCACCTTCTCCTTCCCAGAGAAGCAGTTTCTTTTCCACAACTAACATCAGCCTGCAAAACAATACAAGGTCAATACTGCACGTAACAGTCTTGCGGTGAGGTGGGGAAATACATCTTTTGTCAGAAGAAACTGAAACCTGAAAACCTGAAACCAAGAAAGCACAGATAACTTCAGCTCTAGAGGTCTTTAATATCCCTCGACAAGTATAAAAAGTGAATCAAGCAAAATATAACAAACCTGTTTGGTCTGAGAAACCATATGTGCCTAGAAAAGTATATACCAGAAGGTGTTATACATACTTACAGCTGACAATCTTGCTGATCGTCTTGTGGGCTACAGGAAAAGAAAAAAGGGAGAAAACATTTTTATAGGCTTACAGCAAACAGTATCCAAAGCAACATAATACCAGTCATTTCATGGTGACAGCATTAAATATGCCCCTACCAAAATACATCTCTATTGACAAACACAATTCACTTTTTACTCACCTTGAACAAAATTCTAAGGGAAGAAAGTGAGGTGAAAATCAGCAGTAAAAGCTGTTCAGGAATTATAACATCTAAGTCTCCATATGGTTTAATACCTCCCCCATTTTCCAAGTCCCTTGCTGCTCCATGAAAGGTTGACAAATACAGCAAGCTTGACTACCTGCACACACGACACTGAACCTTTCTCATAAATACTTAGAATGATGTTTCTATAATCTAGCAGATGCTACTTGTAATAGTGGGCAAAAATGCCATCTGATTACCAACAGAATAAAGCTAACATCCTTCCCTAGAGGATATCAGAGTGCTAAAATTTCAAAACATGAAGCTAAGTCCTTCCACTTCCTCAGTACCGCACACACTCAATTGGAGAGTCCAGGTGCACAAAGACAGATGCAGGACGAGATGGAGAAATTATTTCTTCTATTTAAACAATTCTCAAAAGGAAAGAAAAAAGTCAGATATTCTGATTTCCTCCACCTTTCTTTACCAGTTCAACACACCTCCTTATTAAATTTTAATAATCTGTTCTTTGTCATAAATTTATTACTGAAGTTAAATCTTAGAAATAGTTGGAAGCTCATTAGATTGTTCACAGTATCTCTGTATTCATTAACACAAATGAACCCATGATCCAGTTACAGAGCATGGTTATCAAACAGTTGGTTTGGTCTGCATCAAAAAACCTGCCAAAATAAAGGGACAACTCAACCAGGACAAATATCCAATGTAACACAGCTTTAAAGGTGAATCAAAAATATATTCTTAATTACATATTAAGCATTTAAGTTGAGCTGAAAAAAACATGGCTCCACACATCTTGCAACAGGAAAAAGCTGCTGCTAATATCTGAAGAATGCAGTAATTTGTATTCATTGGAGCCATTTAAGTATTCTTAGTAGAAAGCAGTGGTGAATAGTTCCGATCTGCATTCAGTAAAATAGAAGTCTTGTCAAAAAACATCTGAAGATATTTTCAGCTATCAAGTATTTATGCTGTAAAATAATGCTGAGGCCTGGCATTATTTTACAGCAGGTTAAATAAAACATTTCACTTGGTCAGGTAAGAAGAACTCACAGCTCAAGGTATTTTCTTTTACAAATCTGTTTTCTTAACTGGTTGCAGTGCATTTGGGCACAAGAATATTTTGTTAACATCTCTTTGTTTTACAGGATAATATATTGGTTTAGATAAATTTTAATTCTCTCCCACATTCCCAAACTGTTCCTGTTCCATGACTGGTTTCATAGGTGGCTTGTATTGCCATAAGAAAGGCAGCACAAACCCCCAGTTCTTTAAAAATGCACAACGGCTAAATGATTTTTAATTCTCCTTCAGAGTGCGGAAGTATTTTGTGTTATCTAAGGAGGGAAGTACAGTCAGGTCAGCAAAGGTCTCATTTTAATGTGCTTTTGTCTCCCTCCAAGCAATTGTACTAACCCAGAAACTAGCAGCCCACCCAATGGTCAGTTTGACACTGGCCCAACTAGCAAACATCTATGGAATGGAGCAGACACAGAACAACGCTGTGCACTTTCCTACTGCGCCAGCTTCTGGCAATCTAAAGCTGTGAACTTCCCAACCTGGGTATTATATCCACACCATGTGTTTAATAGTCCCTGAGGGCCATTTTCTCTATAAATTTGTCTAATAACCTAGTGAACCCATTTATACTTTCAGTTTCCAGAACATCCTGTGGCAGTGAGTTCCATTAACAGGATTATGCACTGTGCGGAAAAGAAAAAGGAAAACCTTCCCCTTCTGTTGTCTTTCCTTTAAACTTCTCACTTCTTATGAGGTTCCTCTTGTTTTCAGGTTTCGTGAGTAGTAATTCCCTAACTGCCTTTCTCTGTGTTACTGATGATTTACCATGCCTCTGTTATATGAAAAGTTAAGACAGTCAAGAATCCTAGAAAATCTGGGTGCTTTGTTTTCTTTGAGCTTTTTTGTTTGGGGGGTTTGTTTGTCTGTTTCAGTTTGGGGTTTTGGTGGTTTTTGTTTGCTTTTGTTTGGTTTGGGTCCTCCCCCTTTCCCTCCCCCAACCTGCTCTGCATCTTCTGTCCCACTATACTTAGTATCCTTTTAATTCTATCACAGCCCTTATAAAGAAGAGTCAGGAGAACATTTACTAGTCCCACATCTGGGAGCACAAAAAATTAATCCTGTGATACACATATGTTTCACACTCCATCCTCTAGTATTTTTCCCTATATTCTAGTTACCTTTTGTTTAGAAGAACCAATGTTTTCTAGTAACTGTTCACTGATTTCACAATCTCTCCCCTGATGAACAGCCAATTTGGTGACCGTCACTCCTCTGTATATTAATTTGCATTTCTCCATATTCAATTTCTATTGATATTTTACCACCTAGTTATCAGTGATGTAACAGCCTTCTCAGTCTCTCACTTCTGACTACCCTGATAATTAATTGGAAACTTCAGGAAACTCTGTAGTTTGCTCTAGTCCCTCTTCTCCTACATCACTAATGCATATATTCAGCAGCACCAGCCCAAACACAAATCCTTCCAATACTCCACTGATAAGTCTCCTCCATTATGAAAATTAACTACTTCTTCTCTACTCTTTTCTCATATGTGTATTTGTTACCAATTCCTGGGAAGATCTTCAATTTAATCCATGGTAGTTTAGCTTCTTTAAGAACCTGTTTGGGGAGCCTTATCAAAAAGTGTTCTTTCATGCAAGTAAACTATGCTGTCATCCTCAGACCTGCTGACTTCTTCAAAGAACTCAACTGCCTGAAGCATGACTTCTCTGCAAAATCTCTGTCAAGTCCCCCACTGCACATTTGTCCACAGACACTTTAAAAAAAAACAAAACCAATCCCCCCTGCCAAAAAAAACAAACAACAAACCCACAAAAATCCCCAAAACAAACCCCAAACCACCCTCTACTTTTGCAAGTTAGACTCCAGGCTTTATTTTCCAGAATCCCTTATGTAAAGTTCTGGGAGCACTTCATCACCTTCATTTACTCTGGTACTGAGGCCAATGCAAGCAGTTTAGCAGTTGCTGGGGAATACTGTCTAGTTCTCGCTCACACTCCATTAAAGAACGTTCTCCAGACTCCACACCCATGAGAAACAGCTCCACTGTGAGAACCTCCCTAAGAATTCTTCATAGCAGGAGTTTACTGTTTTACAGCTTCACATTCACCATGCTGTAGGGTTTGCTCCTTTCCTCATTACTTACTGTGAACACAAAAACACCTTTCAAAACCAGTATATTTCCCTTATTTTGCTGTTAAGTCATTCTGGGGTTTTCTGTTCAGTTGTTGAGGTTTTTTTTTTTTTTCTGGGGGAGTGGGGAAAGGGTAGTGGGGACTTTTGAAACTATATGCATTTCTGCAAGCCTCTAGCATGGCATACCACAAAGCCTCTCTGCCACCTGAAACCATTAAACTTTTTAGCTTCTTTTAATAGACTCTATTTTTATTATTTTTTTTAATCCACGGCAGAGTTTATCTGCACTTACACTCCTGCGAGAATGATGAACCTGAATCTATTGTGGTCACAATTACAGAACAGTTCTCAGACAACTGTCTTTTTAACTAGCTTCTATGTACTACATAGGACCACATAGAGCTGATTATCTTTTTACTGGTCCTTTGATTTGTTCCTCCAGAAAGCAAGCATGTACAGTTAACTATTCTGTCTTTGTAATGCCATCCTATGCCTTTTACCAAATGTCTGAAAGGGAACCAGAATGTCCATTAACAATGTCCTTGGAGCCTCTCTGATCTCCCTTTACATCAGATGACATCTGGCACAATTTCTACACTGTATACTTCCCATTTATACATGGCTTGGCAATCCATAAAGCATTCTGCTGTAGTTATTAATACAGTTAATCTAGAGAAATATTAAAGACATAATAGAAAGCCATTCTACCACTAATGCAACTTAGCTCTCAACCCTGTGTAATTTTTGCCTTGATGTCACAGTGTCCCCACAAATTTCTGAGTTACCCATTTTATCAATGTCCTCATTTAAAGCCAGACATTCCGAACTGCCCAGATTTAGATCTGCAGTTTTTGTATTTTGGCTTGACTGCCTGTTTTCATAGATGCGACTTTAACATGGCTGTATTTCTCCAGGCTGCTCTTTACCTTTTCAGATGCAAACTTCTATGGCTGCTCTGCTTGCCTCTGCTCTCTGTGACAGTAGGGAGCTCTGACTTCACCCTAGGCACTCTCAAGAACATGCTGGTCTCCCCTCAGATACTTAGTTTAAAATAATTCAGAAATCTCTTCAGTGCCATCCACGCAGGTCTGGTTTTGTTCAGACTGAAGCCACCCTTTCTGCTTAAATTCTACCTACTCCAAGAGCTCCCACAGTTTCTAATCTAATCTAATCTAATCCTACAACCATTTTCCTCATTCACACACTAAGAGCTATAGGTGTATCTACTGAGACTATCTTAATTTGCTGTGGGGTTCACCCCCCTCCCCTGGTGGCATCTCACCTTGACTGAAGACTACTCTAAGAGCTCTGGTATTTCAGAATCAGCAGGCCCTCTCCAGAGAGCCTGTGTATTTCTGTAAGATTCTTGCTCTTCCTTCCTTACGCTAGCAGTCAGATCTCAAATTTTTAGGAGAAGGAACTTTTACTTTCCTGGCTCTTGAAGAAACAACATTTAAAGTTGAGCAGAGAGAAGCATTCATTCAGAATAAAGGATATTATATTTTTACTATGATTTAGTGAGCCTTTTAATACTTTATGAAAAAGAAACCAATTTGTCTTCTAGAAGATTCCAGAGGAAGATACTGAGGTATCAGAATCTATTGCTGTCAGACCTCTTTTTTACTCTACCTGTTTTTTCCTGGAGCTTATTGAAAACTTTACTATTGTTTGAAATATTTTGACATTTCCACTGTACCATCTTTCTCTGCCAGACTGAGCGACAACCAACTTCTCAATTCAGAAAGTGTAAAACTTCACTAGGCTACTTTTTCCTGTTCAAATATGCTCAAAGGTTTAGAAGAAGACTAATTAATTGTTAATTCATTTGAATAGTCACCTATTCTTTCCAAGGTCCTGATTTAACTTCATCTGCCACAAAAGATAACAAGCTAAGAAAATGAATCCTCATAATTCTCTACCTGTTTTTTAAATTCACATTAAGGGCTGTGGCAAACTACTAAACTTTACTGTAGAGGTCAAGGCATCACCAGCTGTCTCCTTGCCTTCTGTGACAGAAGTTACTGTGCCCTTAAAACAAATTCAGACAAAGAAAACACACAAATGTGCCAGCTGCTCCAGTTTAGAGCCTGGTATCTTAATTCAAGACACCCTTCCATCAGTCACTTAAGCTAAGAATAGTTTTGAAGCAGACTGGCTGAGGTGTGCGCATTAACCCTCTTCTGCCAACCTGCCAGAGACAGAGCAACAGTTCCAGGCAGTAACACCTTACATTGCTGCCAAAGGATCCAGCAGTTTGTCTATCAAAGCCCTAAGTGTTTCTTTATTTTATTTTATGCATTAATAACCTGTATGAATCCTCAGTACACCAAAAGCCATTTATGCCAGACAAGCTACAAATGTGGTTTACTGTCATTATTCCCACTGAAAACACCTCACTAGGGCAAGACTGCAGATCTCCACTTAAACAATTACATGTGAAAATGCATTTAAAATAAATGAAATAAAACAATAAAATAAAGAATACTTGCCTCTTGTTTAGTTACTTTTGCTGCATCCTTGCCTTCAGCACCCTCTGGAGACTGAAAAAAAATAGTAAGTCAGTGGTTTTATTACAGACTTAAAAGTATCTATGCACCAGCAAAACAAAGATTATGGTGAAGATTCTTCTTCCCATACATTTCAGCAACTTGAAGAAGCCTGGCAAATTTACATTAGTATTTACAAGAAACATTGTACCAAAGCCATTCTAGATTTTCCAAGCAAGAACACAAGGACTGATGATCACCAGGTACATACATATCGTATCACAGAGCATCCTTCAGTGGTCCCTCTTGCCAATTAACTAAAGCATCCGCAGGTTCCAGTGGGAACTCCATCTCATCAGCAGTTGGCAGCACAACAGTATGAACTGGAAATCTGAGGTTTGTTCTACAGGGCTTTTTAAATCTCTGAGAAATTTAACACGTTTCTTCCCAAACATGAACTTAACTGGTAATGAGATGTGAACCAAAAAAGCACAGCATTACTGAAATGAGTGATTTTTTTACCTCATTTACTCAATTTGCACCTCAGGTTCACTCAGCCAAAAGCTTTAATGGTATCTTTCCCTCATCTCATCTCCTCCATCAGAACAGCAAAAAATTAGTAAAACACCAGGACACTGACAGCCAAAGCTAGGGACAAACATGTTTCTTCAGAAGAACAAAGTATCAACCCTACTATTCCAATGCTGGTGTTTTCAGAGGTACTAGCGAAATGTTAGTTAAACCATGGGTATGTGTGTGTAAAATCAGGTTAGTGGGGTGTTGTTCTTTAGGTTTGTTTGTTGGGGTTTTCTGTTTGGTTGGGGTTTTTTGTTTGTGTCTGTCTGTTTTTACGCATCTCAAGATGTATTACTTCACGTTTTGCGAATGACTGGGTTTTCACCTAGGAGCAAACGATTCATGGAAAAACAGCAAGCAGCAGCGGTTAGAGGAGAACTACAGTAACGGCATGTGTTTCAAAAAGGCATTTAGCAGGCAGCAGAGAAGGCAATTTGCTTGCTGTTTTGTTTTTCAATCAGCAAAGGAGCAGGCTAGCTCTCTTTCCTCCTGCCTTTCCATTGCAACCCTAACCCAAACCTCCCCCACAGATCTTGATAGGGAATGTCTGTTATACAGTTATGGACTGGAGCAGAAAAAAACCCCGGCTAGTTCGCAGCAGTTGACCACTGCCTTCTCCTGGCACTGGGCTCTAACATACTTGGAGAAAGACACCCCCCACCAGTGAATAGAACATGGCTTTGTTACTGTGCACTCTCCTGACAGAAAGGAAGCATGCCACGACAGCAGCTGGTTTAAAAATCATCGAAGTAGCTAGAAAACAGCAGGCAGTTAAGCAGCACTGCGCAACTCAGAATAGCAACAGTCAGGCATCCAAAATGGAGCCCGGCTGTTCCCTATACTACTGCAGCCTCACCAGCCACCTACAGGATCGTTTCAGGTTTACATTCCTAAAAGCCTTTCAGTTTGGTTACTGAAGAGTCGCTACAGCTCGACAGTGTGATGCTGCGAGCATCAAAAGCCGTATGAAAAACAAGACCAAGTAGTTCCATGATCACTGTCAGTAAAGAAGTCTTGTTTCCTACAACTTCCCTTTTCAGCTCACGATACAGTACAGGCTCTGGATATAGCTTTTATGTAGCCCATGAATTTATAACACCTGTTTCTCTTACCTGAATTTTCTTAAGTCTAAGAAACTTGCATTGCACCCTTTCCCTGGGAGGGAGCTCAATTAGCAACTTTTCTGACCTGAGCACCTATTTATCAGGAAGGTTTCTCCAATGTTACAATCTTTCCTTCACAGTGGCCGAGAGCCTCAAGATTTTCAGGGGTAGGGACAGGAAGATGGCATGATTCATTTCCTTTGGAAGCCAGGCTAAAAACCCACCAGAAACTAAATGAAGCTGACACTCCACAATCAGGCTCTTTTAACCTGCTTCCCTTTCAGGAGCTTTGAAACAGGGCTAAATCATCACAAGATGGCACTGCCACATGCCAATAGCCCTGCAGTAATTGCCCAGGAGCAAACTTCCACCCTGCAATACCGCACAGTTGACACGCAGTAATTTACCCCATTCTCTTTAGAACTAATAAAAACCAAGTCTCCGACATGATGGACAGGGCAGCCTGATTTGAGATGCCAAGGTAATTGCTTGACAACAGATTTTAAAAACTGTTCATGACGCTAACCACGGGGGGAAAATGATATTAAAATACTCTCAGTGCAACCACAACCACTGTATACTACTATGATACGTTACACAACATACTTCAATTGAGTTAGCTAATTAGCCCAGCATTCCCTCCCAAGTTAGAAAATCCAAGAGCAATTCTGAAGGCTACATAACTTTCTCTGTGGAGGGACATGCAGAGTAATAATCTCAGAGGTGTGAATAAGCAGCAAGGGGTTCTGACATGCTCTCTTTTCCATTTCAGACCTGCTTCCTCTTCTCTGCAATCACTACAAGTCCCGGCTTTTGGAGGCTGTGCTCATCCTCCCAGGGCCAGTATGCTGGCAGAGCTGTGTGGGAGGCCATGTCACGAATAAAGTAATTGATCCCACTGAAAAATAGCCTGCTGCTTAAACAAATTTATAAATATAAATACAAATTATAAATATATAGTCTTTCCTGCTCCAGCAGAACCATTTTACTGCACAGCTGCACAAACAATTGAGCCAGTATGACAGTGGCATGGGGCAGTTGCAAGCAGCCTGGGACTCTTTAAGCCAATAGACACACCAAAAAAAATCTGTGTCAGATATGGCTAGAGCATATTTGTTAAAAGAGGAAGAGAAACTTATTTTCTCATCTGCAATCCTGCTTAGACATCCCAGTGAATCCCAGCTGATACGAATCTTCATGCTAGTTTCTGCAGTACTTTCTCCTCTCTCTAGGGACCAGAGATATTTGTACACGAATGGATTTGTGCCAAGCACAGTTCCCAAAGAACTTGGCATGCCACAAGCAGTGACGGCACTAGTATCTGGAAGTCACAGGACTTTTATGTAGATACCACCAAAACCTTAAAGTCCTTGTCCCTAACTCTTCCACGGGAATCCTTCCCCCATCTTTTGTCCTGGTGACAAACTACTGAAGGATCTCTGGTTTCAAAGCAACCAAACATACTAAGTAACCCGCCCCCTTGCCAAGTTTTCCTTGGTGTAATGCTATGGCTCACTGTATTTCACGTGACACCCCACTCACATCACAACACACCCTGGATACTGTGCCTCACACTGTAAACTTGTCAGGAGCGGGACTATATAAACTGCAAGTTTTGTGCAGCAAAATCAGACTAGTACAAGCACTGAATTGCTTGACAAGGGCAGTTCTCCAACCTCAGTAATTCTTCAGCTGTACTCCATCATATGCCTGTACTATACTCATAAAGTAGTCCCTATAGGCCTACTGTGCTTTATACTGCATAGATACCTACAAGAGACAACACAGACAAAAAAAGCAAATAAGGACACAGATTATGGTGATTTATTTTTTCTTCTCCAGTCACAGAGGTACACAGAAGGAAAACAGCTGACTGGCTAACTCTCAATACGCTTTTCACATTTAAACTAACAGCAAGTTTTAGGTTCAGATGACCACACATTGTGTCATAACTCAATCAGCACTACATGTTAGCAATAAGATTGTAAATTAAGCTGTAGCTAAGCTTTGTAAGATCTGTCAGAGCTGCATAACTTTTATACCACAAGATTAACCTGGAAGGTTGCATGCCGGATTCCCTGTGCCTATCACCAATCAGCTTGTTTTTATTATTTGCTTTTTCCACAACCTTTTTCAAGGACAACCTAGAAAAATTAATTTGAGAAGACATAACAAAACAAAGGAATATTAATGCAGTACAGAGAACATTAAAAAATAATCAAAGTAATATCAAAATTAAGCTTGTTCGTATACACAGTTCCTGCATTTCACCAGCTGTGAAGTATACATAAGAACTGGTGTTTCCACACACCAGGACAATACTGCAGTATCTGCACTGCCAACACCATTACAGAACTGTTAAGTTGAAAACAGAAAACTAGGTAACTGTTTTAAGGAAGCATTTAATAGAATACACAGGCAAATTTCCTTTTTATAAAGGTTGGGTTGACCTGGCAGATATGCACCACCAAAGAAACTAAAAGCTTTAATTTTTCTAATCAAACCCCTGCAATACAAGCAGGATGTAATGAGAGTACCATTACAAAGTAATGAAAGCACCTCCCCGTTCAAGAGATCCAAAGGTACATTTGAATTTGCAGTGACTGGCTTCTGGATAAATATTTTGTTTGTGCTTAGCTGAATGGATTGTACTATTATAAAGGAGTGAAGAATGAGAATACAAGTACGTAAGAAGTAACAGTCAGTACAGAAAGTTGCTTATAAAATTAAATAGATCACTCATTCTCTGAAGGATCTTATTACCAGCTGAAACTCAACACCCTGGCTCTGATGGGACAGAAATTAGTCTTTTCATACCCACGTGAATTACAAAAAAAACAACAACAAAAAAAGAGACAAACAAAAAACACATGCGAAATCAGATGCCAATTTCATTCTAACTACCAGGCTATCAAGTTAGAAAGGCAGAAAGCCTTAACTGTCCTAAACCTTGAGCATACTCCTCCCTTCTTTGCAAGCTGTTCTGTTCCAGCTGCATCTCAATACACTGCCTGCAGCGGGATTTACCAGCAGATACTTTCTGGCTCACTGTTCTAGCTGCCATTTCCATGATGTAATGCTTTGGTCATTCCTCCAACAACTTTCGTCACCAAAATACGACAAAAGCTTTCAACAAAACCACAGTGCAAGAAGAGAACACATAAAATCCTAAGCCTTTTTCAGGTTTACTGCTCTATTTTCCTATTTTCTTTTCTCCCCTCATTTCCCTTTGAGTAGAACTCCACATTAGACTAAATTTAATACAATGAATGGTTTCCCTATGCATGCTAGATCTTCTAATTATTTGTCTTCAGAGAAGTTCTGAATTTTGTGGCGGTTCATAAATGTAATTAAAATGCTGTTTATTTCTGGGTTTAGATTAATGAAGACTACATACTGACTAATTTAACATCAGCCAACTCCTACAACACCCTCCTAACCATTGTTTCCACATTTAGCTCCTTCAGCATCTTACCATTAACCTTTGTTTATGGTTAGTTCTTTGATCTGTTTTCAGCGGATAAAACAGTGCTCACTGCCAAGCCAAGAACTTTACAAGTAAAATTAATTTGCTGTAATAAATGCTTCAGGAAATCAGGTATTCTTCCTACTACACCCCTTCATTTCTGTTTTCTACCTAAAGCCTGACCCTGGACAGGGAAAAAAAACATGCATGCCACCAAACAAAAAAACCCAAGTAATTCCGCCAAAGCCACCAGTGAAGTACATAATAAATCTGGTTAGTGGATGGATTTTTTAAATACCCATCCAAAGTGATACCTGTCTTGCTCTCTTCCAAAAAAATAAATTGGGAAAAAAAAAAATATTGTACATAAATGTTTATCTATTCTTCACCAAAAAAGGAAAAAAAAAACCAAACAAACCCAACCCCCCAAAAAAAAATCCTGCTTAAATATTTATTCTTTGAGTATATAATATTTTAATCTTTTTTGTTGAGAACTATTACAATGAAGTATTATACAATACGTCATTTTTAGATTTAAATCCCTCTATCTTACATCTATTAAGAGTAGAATATTTAATTTTCTTATTCTTTGGGGGAGAATGTCAAGATCATAAACCTCTGAAAAGACAAGTGGAACTTAAAATCTTAAATATAAAGAAGACCATTAATATCCTCTGACATTAATATGCAATTAGGGATAAAAAATAACAGGGAAAACGTTTCTTGATCAAAGTCTCCATTCGTGCTAAGAGATTCAATCCAAACAGAGTGATAAGTTGATATACACTGCATTTTCAAAGAATACATAAGAAAACAAAAATACAAACAGCCTGGTTATAAGCAAAATCATTAGGTTTAGGAAATGCATTTTATTATATTCCTTAATTCTTAACAGGTAGCTTCTGTGAGCTTTATGGTCTTCCAGACAAGACAGAAACCAAGTGAGGCCTGGGGTACTTCTAGATATCCAAAACGAGACAGAATAAATGCTTTTCCAGAAGAGGAAATTCCATCACTGTAGATTGAGGTTTAGCTATTCCCACTGAAAAGAGGTCAAAGATTGACCAATATAATTTTAAACACATTTATATTTGTTGGGATATTTTTTGTAAGTCTCACAAATGGTTTGGCTTTTATTTTTCCTTCCAAGTTTGTCTTCCCTGTAGTCAGATTTTTGAATGTGACATCTTCTACCTATAGCAGATTGAAGTAGTATGAGCAGTTTCTAGAGGCTCTGATTTAAAAAAGAACAACCCAGCATTGTAATTTAAAATTAGACAGTTCCTTTTTCAGCCAGTGAAGTAATCAGCTGTATTTTGAAAAATACAGATCAGCCACGGGAGCAGTGAGCACAGTGCATTTGGAATTGTTCGGTTTCCTCTAACACCAAACGTAAGAATTCAGCTTAGTAGTAAGTAAATTCTTGTCCCGATATTTGCTTAATCGTTTTACTGCCACCATAAAATAAGAAATGCAGATTCAAAGAATATGATGGATGAAATCCAATCCCTAATAACATCATTTCTCTGACCTTTCAAAGCTGATTGACTCATCTAAGTCAAAATACACAGGCAGTTTTTAAAACCTTAAAGATGAGGTTCCAAAATCCGCATCTAAATTGTACTGATCAAACCTGCAAAGCAAAGCTAGCACAAAGCACATTTGAAAAAAATAGTAATAAAGAAAAATGTCTACTTAAAGATAGAGATTAGGCAACCACTTTCAGTAACAACCAATTCCTGAGAATAGCAATCTCTGACAAAGAACATTATATTCTCAATGACTGAAAAAAGGTGTGCAATTCCTCCCCTCCTAGAAGACATAACTGTGATAAAACCACAATAATCTAGAACAGAACCCTTTTGTTGTTGCAACTAACTGGTGCTACAGGACATCAAACCTCTGAGATGACGACAGCAGGTCCATGACTATGAGGTAGGTACCAAAGGCACAATGCCTTACATACACCGACCTTTCATCCCGGTAATAATTCCAGCTGGGATTAATAGCAGTATTGCTCTACTACAACAGCCAGAGTAGACATCTTCCTAGACAACCTAAAAACAGTTTCAAGAGAAGAGAAAATAAAACGTCTCCAGGAAGGTGCAAGTGGGATAAGGGAAAAATGGCGCAGCAGAGATGAAGGACGTTTTCATACTACAAACAGAGCATCAACACCTCTCCTCAACTTTGCTTGAGGAATAAAAGTCAATGCAGAGGTAAAAATGTCATTAGATAGTTGACTGCAAACTATGGAAGCATTATCTACTACTACTAACTCAGGTAGCATTAGGAGAACAGAGAAAGCTAGGTGGCAAAAGCAAATCCACCCACCATGTCCCAACAAAGCCCATGTTGATGAGAACATGCACAATTTTTTGTTTTGTACAGACCAATCCCAACATTC